ACATGTAAATGCATACACAAAGAGAAACGATTTATAAAAACATTGAAATGATATTATTTTGGGGAAATATATTACATGTTTCGACAGAACTGCTTATAAATCGTTGTTGGGAATTTTCTCTTGTGTTAAATGACGCATTAAAGTCTATAACCCGGCAAGACAAGAAAATGTCATTATTTTAAGAACACATTAAAAACAGTTTCTAATATATGATATAAAATAGGTCATGATCGATACAGAAAATCTTATATTTTATTTAGACGTCGGTACACTAGTATAAACATAATACTTAACTTAAGCATTATGTTTATACCAGTCTACCGACGCCTTAAGCTTTCATCTTTTCTGTTTTCAGTCTAATTAAATACTGAATACATACATAAAATACCTAACTTAATTATTTTTACTATTAATTTACACGATGTAAGTTTTAAAAAGTTCTTTGTCTGCAAATCTAGTAAATTAGACATATTTTCAAATTATTCATAATTTGATGGTTATCTGTCTATAAGTATAAGGTGACGCTTACAGCCTGAATTATATACATATATGATATATAATACTAATAGTAATATTATCAAGAGGAAAATATTATTAGCCAGAATTTTTTACAGATATTTTTTGGTGCTGGGGTGTATTTTGTGGATTGTAAAATATTAAGAAAATGTTATAAATGTTCTATAACTTACTATAAGCGTTATTAAACTTAATTATTCATTTAGTAGACTTTAGGCGTAATAAGTATAGCTTGAACTTGAAACTAAGTAAAACTAAAAGTTTCGTTAGTTCAGTTGTGCCTTTGGTTTGATTAGGTCGGTACAGAATTGTATTACTACTGCCCCTTATGTGGTGTGGGGGTGGTTATTAACTTATTACCTACCAAGCCAAGGTTACAACCAACCTCACAAAATTGTGCATGGTGTCCTATCACAGTTTCGAATGGTTTAGGCTTAACCATACAGGATTGTCTTGGAAGACAAGGCGTTTCCAGCTAGTTGTACATCCACAAAACAGTAAAGAAATATGACAGAATACAAGCTTGTTGTTGTTGGAGGTCAGCTTTAATTTTATTTTAATGTGATAATTAAACTTAAAGCAGGAAAACGTACCAAGGGGAGTTATCCAAAATTGTTAAACTTTCTTAATAATATTTGAACAATAGAAATTAGAATTTAAAAGTTTGCCTTTTTTTGCCACAGTAACAAAACTTAAATAGTTAAGCTTTTCCATCTCATTTTATTGTTCATTATAAATGAGATTGCGTGATTACTATTAATTAATAATAATATGTTTCGACTGACTAGCTGTGACTATAGCTCTTAAGGATATATTTAGTAGTGCATGGTCATAGCTTAACATAAACAAACTTAAAGCCCACCTTTCTATTTGATTGTGTTTCACTTTTCAATCTACTT